TGGGGGGGGCAGAGCAATGGGCAGTGAGGCAATGGGTGCAGGGGTCCCACCGACTCCCTGCCCAGTCCCTCTCCTGCATCCCTGCCAAGACGCATGCTCTCGGATGTCACCGCTGAGATGGGACCCAAGCAGTGCTTTCACCCAGGCTTGCAGAGGATGCTCGTGGGAGTGCTGGGTCACCCAGGCTGCCATGGGGTGCACACACGGAGGGGGGTGAAGCAGACTCAGCTGTCCCCCCGCTCCCTCCCCCAAGCTGTTCTCCCAAAAACCCAGGTCAAGACATCACAGTTTCTTGGTGGAGACACAGCCACCACAGCCCCACAAGCATTTAGCGAGCTAAAAATTCGTCTTTATTGCTCCAGATGGGGGAAAAAAACCCCAGCACATCACAAGCCTAGCCAAAGCACTGCTATAACTTGCCAAATAAGTTACACTTTCTTGGGAGCAGACCAGACAGGGGCTAAGCCAGCCTTAATGACGAGCCACCTGCCGCCCTGCTGGAGCAAGGTCCAAAGCGCCAGCTAGAGCTCTCTTTCCAGCTCCACAAATTCCAAAATCTTCCAGCTGTGAGCTGGCCAGCACAAGGTGGAAGCACAAGGTCTTCTCCATTATTTGAGGATCAGGTAGGTCGGAAGTGACCTCTGGAGGTCTCTGGTCCATGCCCTGCTCAGAGGAGGGCTAACTTCAAAGTCAGATCCCACTGGCCATATGGAGGAGGCAAGGCTTTCATCAGCAAACCCCCCAACACCAGCATGTGGGCATACAAGCTTCTTCCCAGAGGGAAAAATCCAGCAACTCTATCAGGACCTCATGTGTGCTACCTGTCCTCCAGCACAGCACCTGCAGGTGTGACCACACCTACTTCCATGCAAGCTCTAGGAGCAGTCATCTTCAAGATCACCTCTCCTTGGCTCAAATCCAGTTAAAAACAGCCAAGGAATCTAAAAATCACAGCAGGTATGTGGAAAGACGACAAAGGTATGCACACACGATCACGTAAGCCTGTTTTCATTAAGAAATCTGCACCTAAACTGCTCTGCAATAATGTCTTTTAACACTGATATTCCCATGTGGTAGACCTTCCCCAGATTACAGAGGTGCAAACAACATGGGTACAGGTGTGGAGAAGAAAGCCAGGCCTCCAAGTAGTACCAGGTCTAGGTCTAAAGCCTTGCGACGTGTGATCTTGGAGAAATACTTTAAAACAGCATCTGCATGTTTCCAAGGCAGAGATGCCCCAAAGGGCTCATGAACTGCCCAACACAGCCAAGCATCCTCCCAAGCACACACTGTAGGCTGCTACAAAGGGAAAGCTACCTCCTCCGCACGCCTTGGAGCACTGAGACCAGCTCTTGAGGGCCCACTCATAGGAATCCATCTCCTCAAGCAGGACATTATTGTTTCCAATCATGGGCAGCAGGTCTTCATGGATGATGTACCGGTACATCAGGCTGCTCCTCGCCTCCTCCTCCTGAGGGATGACCTGCAGGCAGAGAGGACAATCAGAGAGGGGGAAGGAGAGGAATGAGTGATGCCATGGGGAACGGGAAGGGGCAGAGGCAGGGGCAGGGGGCGGGCCGTCAAAGAAAAAAGAAGTGACAACAACCACATGGTACGGTACTCAGAAGAGTAGGAGAAACAAACCGTTACTACTTCCAACATGGATTAGGTGAGCTCTGAACACAGAGTCTACCCTTCGGGAACATACCTCTCCAGTTGTGGAGAAAAAGGCTGCCTAAACAGGCCAACTCCAGCCTTGGGTCACATGCCCCTGGCCTCTCCTCTGACCTGCAGAACACAGTCTACACCCAAAGTCAGCGCCAGCCACAGGGATGGACGGGAGTGCAGATCTGCCCTTCCCTGGGTGCCCAGGGAACCCAATCGCCAACTCCCTCAGATACCAGTATAACTAAAATGAGGTGAGAGTCACAAGCAATTGCTGCAAAGAGCCAAATGCAGTTGGACTCAACGGCAAGCACCCGAGCAATGCGTCCTTATGACATTCTTGCAGGTAGCTCATTGCCCCTTGCTTTTGTCTAGCTTATTTCCCTGGTTTTACTGACATGCCCTACATCCTTTCTCTACCAAAGTCCTTCCATCACCTCCTACATCCCATGTCAGACCACCTTCCCTCTCTGTACTGCTGGGTGATGGTTGGCCCCAACACCTTCAGAGGACGAGTCAGTCAGGCTTACCAAAACACTGATGGCTTCGTGAAGAGGACCGCTAGTTTTCAGGCTCTCCTTGCCATGTTCAACAATGTATTCCCACTCCAAGCCCATCTCAATGAACACTTGGCTTTTGGCTTCTTTGCCCTTGGCATTAAGGATGAAGTTACCTGTGGCTTGATTCTTAACAGCTGGAGGAGAAAGGAGGTATTTCAATATCATTTCCTCTGGTCACTGCCTTTGAAGGACTGGAACGACCCAAAGAAGACCCTTTGGGTAGGTATTGTCAGAATAGGGCTGAGAAAGAGATAGCGGGTGAAGGGAGAGGTGAACTATGGTGTACTCACCAATGCTGTGGGATGACGGCTCCATCTCTTCTATCTGAAGGTGCCTCGCCCCAGCTGGAATCTCAAACATCTTCAAAACACCTGCTGAAAGGGAAGGAGGAATGGTGAATGGAGGAAAGAGAAAGAGTAGGTTTGCTCCAACTGGACACACACCCGCTCACACCCACATGTGAATCCAGCTGACCCTGACCGAATCCCCTCCCAAACCCAGCCAGCCCGCTCACCCAGCTGCTTCGGGGTCTTGGCCAGTGTGCCCTTCACCGTCCGGCAGTGGGAGTTGTCCCCCCCACAGACCCCACACTTGTCGTCCTGCTTCAGGGAGCCGACCTCCTTGTCGCAGCCAACATGCTGTCACCCATGAGGAAAAGAAGACAAGCACAGAGGTTACATCCCTGCAGCCCATCCCATCGCTCCACCATCCCCATAGCCCTTGGCTGCACACAGGGTCGGTCCACGGGCATCCCCAAGGGATAGGAGGTCAAAGGGATGCACAAGCTCTCTCCTGGACAGGCAAAGGACACGGACAGTCGCGCAGCAGCCATCAGCTCCTCACCACACACTCGCCCCGGACGCAGATGCTGTAGGGGTCTCGGTAGCTGCACCGGGTACCGTCATGAACAACCTGATTCATGAACACCACATCCCCTGTTCCCTCAGACTGGCAAATCAGTTCACATTTCTGAGCATCTGCGGAAAAATAAAAAGGGAAAAAAAAGGGGG